TAATGTGTGTGTGCACACACACACATCTACCAATACATGTATACACATACACACACACACACACACACACACGGTGGGTATAACAGATTTGATGCATTGGATGTTGAAGAAAAGGGGACATTTTAGCAGGTGAGAGGCGTCGTGTGAGAACAATAGCTCGTTAACTAAGACCAAGACAGCGCGGTGCTGACGAGATCCTCACATTACTGTGTTAATACAGCATGTGGCACAGATTTGGATATGGAAAGAACTGCACCATAGTATCACAGCATGAAGACTGTGTATGGGTTGGTGCTAGAGTGCGCTTGGAAACGGAACAAAAATTGTCATTCATAGGACAGTTAATACCACAACAGTAATTATTTAATTCCTGATAATCCGACGACAACAAGCACAGGTGGAACGGATTCGACTGGGTCACTGTTTCTTTAATGCAATTTCGCGAATAAAGCGTTCTGTAATGAAAGCATCTACCAACTTAACGCCGCATGGGTATGTCAGTCCAGACTGGAAGGTGTTGTAATGGTAGATATTAGGTACTTGATAATAGTTGCATTTCATAAGTGTACCAAGTTAGTGAAATAACGGGTGTATATAATACTGACTGGTCATAGTGGAGCAGTTGTATGTACTAAATGATACACAAGCCTTAAGTTAAACAGTGTTATAAGACAAACACTTTAAATGATATACAAACGTATTGTCGAGGAGTGACATGTACTAAAAGATATACTAACCCTATTGTCGGTGTATCGAATGTAAGGCTACTCTTCAGAAGTGCTATGCACTGCAGGAAATATACGGCAACGAAATTGGGTGTATAGAATATAAGACTACGCTTAAGCTGCTGTGTTTGCCTGGAATACTGACATGCAACGTTAGCGGAGCAGTCGCAGATGGAACGTTATTGCCGTGAAAGACACTTTTATCACATAAGGAACGTTACTGACAATTTGCAACTGAAAGGTGAGAAACATGCATAGACTATACCTGAACAATATCCGGTCATCGTAGACTATGGTGCCTCATCCGTAACAAACATTTAAGGTCTCTGGACAGTGATAAAACTACGACGTGACAGGCGTATTGGGAAATGGTAAGTATTTCAGGACGTTGTAGACATCGCTACCGGCTACAGACATTTTTAAAGATAATGAAACACAGAAAATGTGGGGACATGGGATCTTGATACACGCAAACTGCGGCAAGCATCAAACACCATTAAATACTTGAAGACAAGCACATTATAAACCGTCCATCTTATTTTTGATTCTATTATTCCATATGCTTTTTCTGATGACATTAAGCCTAGTTCGCAAGAGTAACGGGGTAATTTCCTCGATAGTTTGCGTTAATAGTTTGGACGGCCTTTCTTACGCTCCTCATTAGTGCGTTGGGAGCGCGATTAACCGATCCTCCTTTCTTTTAGGGTGGTTAGGCAAGTGTGAAATGTTCCGTCAAACCAAACGATACGGGGGAAATTTATAAACGGTTGCACGAGTTGAAGCCGTCCATTAATAGTGACAAATCGTCCCGAGGCCATTTGCAAATTACACAGCCCTAGGTATGGGGTAATATGGGGCTGATTAATCTTCCGACAGGGATATCGTCTGCTTTGACTTCTTTTATCCCAGGATTTGTATCGATTGAAAGAATGACCCCTCAGGAGTAAAAGCCTAAACTTCCTTCTCTTTTCGTCACTTAGAGAAAGGTTCTTTTGATGTGATTTTAGTAGAAAAAATGTGACAATCACTTCGTAGCGAGGATAACGTTGGGTGCATTAGTTCCAGGTCAGGTTGTGAAGTCGGCAGTTACACTACACGCGAGCATCTTTCACAGTAAAATACAACGTGTCAAAGTCTCTATAAGCGTTACATTCTCACAAAATTCATATTTCTTTTGCATTGATAATATTTATTGACAAAAAGGGAAGACGATTTCTTTTGCAACCAGGGACATATTTCCCAATGGCGTGGGTAAAGTTGATGATCCAGCACATTTAGTAGTATATACAGTGTGCTGCTCCAATGACATTTACACACAATGTGGAGATATGATATATGCATCATACACAATGAGGAGATATGATATATATATCACACACATGTGGAGATATGATATATACATCACACACAATGTGGAGATATGATATATACATCACACACAATGTGCAGCTATGATATATACATCACACACAATGTGCAGATGTGATATACACATCACACACAATGTGCAGATCTGATGTACACATCACACAATGTGGAGATATGATATATACATCACACACAAAGTGGACATATGATATATACATCACACACAATGTGCAGATATGATATATGCATCACACACAATGAGGAGATATGATATATACATCACACACATGTGGAGATATGATATAAACATCACACACAATGTGCAGATATGATATACACATCACACAATGTGCAGATATGATATATACATCACACACAATGTGCAGATATGATATATACATCACACACAATGTGGACATATGATATATACATCACACAATGTGGAGATATGATATATACATCACACACAATGTGGAGATATGATATATACATCACACACAATGTGGAGATATGATATATACATTACACACAATGTGCAGATATGATATATACATCACACACAATGTGGAGATATGATATATACATCACACACAATGTGGAGATATGATATACACATCACACAATGTGGAGATATGATATATACATCACACACAATGTGGACATATGATATATACATCACACACAATTTGGAGATATGATATATACATCACACACAATGAGGAGATATGATATATACATCACACACAATGTGCAGATATGATGTACACATCACACAATGTGGAGATATGATATATACATCACACACAATGTGGAGATATGATATATACATCACACACAATGTGCAGATATGATATATACATCACACACAAAGTGGACATATGATATATACATCACACATAATTTGTGGATGGGATATATACATCACACAGAATTAAGGGATATGATGCATGCATATAATTGAGTTATGGTATTGAACTGCACACAATATATAGGAATGTGATAGTGAAGACAAATTGGTTGGGGGCTGAAACACACTTTCCCGATCATCCACATGTACAAACGTGAAAAAGGCGGTTTATTACACCAAGTAAAGTAAATAGATAAAAAGAATGACACATACAACTCTCTGTAGCTATTATCTGAAGAATTATACGGACGCACCGCGACATATTTATTGAATAAGATCTCCAGTGATCTCCCGTTTCCACCCTTTATCATTTAAAACAACAACGTATCTTCATATACATATGTATATCCAATGACTGCAGTCGACTGGCGTGTGGTATCTGGGGCCATATCTGTAACTGGTTCCCTTTTCTCAAAGAGAAAGCATCTCCTCCCCCGCCCTTTAGCCATGTACAGATGACAGATACGACAGCCACGGCTACACGGCCCCCCTCAAAATGAGATGGAATCTAAGCAGCTACCCCAGGTTTTCCACTATCCTTCCTATAAGACAATAGAACAGATGGACAGACGATAACCTTCAACAACCGAACGATAAATCGTTTTGCGAATTTCAGGGTGTCGTTTGATCGATAACGCCATCTTTCAGCGACTCGACCGATATCGTATGGATTTGAAGCATTATCTCGTTTGTGTCGAGACGTTAAAATACGTCAATCTGTACAAAAAGGTTTTTGTAGTCATACAATGTCCAGTGAATAGGCCAACCTTTATCTATATATTCTCTTGAATAAGGCAATTATTTTAGCATGATAAGTGTGAGAGTATAATTATCCTTGGTCATACATGCATTTTAGTCTGACAGAATGAGTACCATCATCACGACTATATGTAGTTTCGACAGTTATGTGTAGTACAGGACTCTTCTAGTCTTTCATATACAGCTTACTTGTTGTGGAGTTTACACACTTTGTATAGTGTGACACTAACTACTTTCCGCAGAACTTAGTACAGGATAACAGGTGGAAGTTAGGCAATAACTGATATAACAGTTTCAGATGAAGCAATACTTAAGAAAGCGGTATATTACTAACGCTCACGTAAGTACGTGGCGGACAAATATGCAGGAAGTGGGACATTCATTCGTTTAAGATAGCCTGCCGCTGGTGACCCGATGTGTTCACGGTGGTGGTTATCTCCATTTACCCACATCTCCGATGTGATCGGCTCAGCAACAAAAGTGATTTATTGCACTTTTTGTTAGTTTGTGTATACATATTGTAATGAAATCTGTTTGAATCCAACAACGCTATCAGAATGAAATCTGGTAACTCCACTGTCATCTAAGAAGCTACAGTCTAGTGTAAACTGTGGGATAACATAGCGATCATAACTCACCGTTGAGTTGCAACGGTCTCACCCAAATTTGTCAACAGTTTGTAGTAATCTGTACCGAGATAGTGGGGTTATTTCACTGTCGTGTAGGGGCAGTATGCACTGGAGAACTACATCAGCACCTGGCTTTGACTCTGTGGGAGTTAATAGGAGAACAATCAGGGAGTTAGAGCTAAACTCCGGTTGTTACTCTGCTCGGACTCAAGTGAAAATACTCAAGGTATATTTGTTGACATTTTGTTTCAAGGAATATGTCAACGCAATCTGTTATTAGCTTGCAGTTTCTTAATAACCCACATCCTCCTGTCGGATTACATTCTTAAAGGCGCCATGAAATGTTGCTGTACGCTTCTTTTGGGTTTCTTCTTCTGACTGATCATGGGGCAGGCATCCCATCTCGGAACATAGAGTCAGAAACAATTCCTCTGCAAAAGATACTGTTTTATTTCTGTGTACATTTCCTCAGTTATATCTATCTCCACACATACTTAATGACATAGTCTCATACACATCAGTGCGGATATGAAGGTTATGGTTGATGAAATAGAATGAATGTAAAGATCGTGTAAATCTTCGTGTAACAGCTTGTTACGGTTTTCTTTGCAGGGCTTGGGGATGCCTGGGGCATGCGGTCGCCCCCTCACCGGACAGCACTGGAGAAGGAGCTTGGATCCCATCTCCTTCAGGTAATACACGTTACCTTAATTTGTACCCATACATATTACTAATACCTACACCATCCATGTGATACACCTTAGTCGTGACGTATACCTATACATACTAACGGAAAAAAGTAACTGTGCATAACATACAATTGCATAAAATAATCATTTGAAATATAACCCTGAATAAACAGGTAGCAAAGCATTTTGCATGAAATTTGATTTCACGTATCGTGCGGGGCACGTGCTTTTTGTGCTCAATGAACTTAACCACTTTTTTACGTCTGACATTGAATATTCACTGTTACAGAATTCCCGCTTATCAAACATGCATCCCCTGTTTTCACTGTTACAGAATTCCCGCTTATCAAACATGCATCCCCTGTTTTCACTGTTACAGAATTCCCGCTTATCAAACATGCATCCCCTGTTTTCACTGTTACAGAATCCCCTCTCATCACACATGCATCCCCTGTTTCCACTGTTACAGAATCCCGTCTTGTCAGACATGCATCCCCTGTTTTCACTGTTACAGAATTCCCACTTATCAAACATTCATCCCCTGTTTTCACTGTTACAGAATCCCCACTTATCAAACATGCATCCCCTGTTTTCACTGTTACAGAATCCCCTCTCATCAAACATGCATCCCCTGTTTTCACTGTTACAGAATTCCCGCTTATCAAACATGCATCCCCTGTTTTCACTGTTACAGAATTCCCGCTTATCAAACATGCATCCCCTGTTTTCACTGTTACAGAATTCCCGCTTATCAAACATGCATCCCCTGTTTTCCTGTTACAGAATTCCCGCTTATCAAACATGCATCCCCTGTTTTCACTGTTACAAATTCCCGCTTATCAAACATGCATCCCCTGTTTTCACTGTTACAGAATCCCTCTCATCACACATGCATCCCCTGTTTCCACTGTGTTACAGAATCCCGTCTTGTCAGACATGCATCCCCTGTTTTCACTGTTACAGAATTCCCACTTATCAAACATTCATCCCCTGTTTTCACTGTTACAGAATCCCCACTTATCAAACATCATCCCCTGTTTTCAAGAATCATGCATCCCCTGTTTTCACTGTTACAGAATTCCCGCTCATCAAACATGCATCCCCTGTTTTCACTGTTACAGAATCCCCGCTTATCAAACATGCATCCCATGTTTTCACTGTTACAGAATTCCCGCTCATCACACATGCATCCCCTGTTTTCACTGTTACTGAATCCCCTCTCATCAAACATGCATCCCCTGTTTTCACTGTTACTGAATCCCCTCTCATCAAACATGCATCCCCTGTTTTCACTGTTACAGAATTCCCACTTATCAAACATGCATCCCCAGTTTTCACTGTTACAGAATCCCCTCTCATCACACATGCATCCCCTGTTTCCACTGTTACAGAATCCCCTCTCATCACACATACATCCCCTGTTTTCACTGTTACAGAATCTCCTGTGATCACACATACATCCCCTGTTTTCACTGTTGCAGAATCCTCTCTCATCACACATGCATACCCTATTTTCACTGGTACTACATACCTCGTCACCCTACATTCAATCCTAATGTTGTCACTGAATCCCCGGTCTCCAGACATACATGGTGGATGAGTGATGTTTAGATAGAAGTCACTGGCAGTCAATACTGACATCACATAACGAGAAACAGTTACTACTACATTATGTACATTTAGAGAAAACTGTAGGCTTTTGTCCTACCACATCGTAAGTTCAATGTACCTGAGATGGATTATTTGTGTTGTTTTGTAAGAAAAAAAAGTGTTCAACGTCTTCCAGGGTAAGAAATTCAAAGCATCATTTCGATTTGATTAACAATACTGTCTGAGCTATTTGTGAAATTGGTTTAAACTTCTTTTGAAGCTTAAACGAAAGGCTGAATTTCCCTCGACAAATATTGACAGTGGTCCCACACTTATTTTATTCAATTTAAATCATATCTGTCGACTGGCACTTGCCGTTTTTGTATCAAACCCCGTTACCGCTAATAACTTTTAAAATGAATTTGATGAACTGTCGTGCTCGGAAAAGCCATGGCATAGAGAGAGATGACAACTTTAAAATTCCGATTAACTATAAACAGCAACGTTAAACCAGTAATTTTATGCACGGACACGCCATGGATGTCGCTGTTAAACATGCCCACTTTTTTCTCTTTGCCTCCGGCAAAATTACACGGGCGGGAGAGCGGATTTGTAGAATATCCTTTATATGTGTACATTAAGATAAAGAATTGTAGGGACCCATATAGTTGATAACTGAACAGACGATAGCAGGACTGTCTGTCAAAGTGAAGGATTATTTTGCCTAGCGCATCAACATTTACGGTAATTCGGCCCTAGACGTTTCAAATGTAGGAAAATTCGCGGGAGAGTCTGTTTGTTTTCCTCTTTCTCTCTGATAACATTAATCACTGTCGGATGAGGAATTCCGACTTTTGTAATGACCCCTGGTTGAGCTACAACAAGATCGCCTCTCAATACGTCACCCGGTTTTATCGTCTGCTCCCAAACCTCTAGCGCGCGTGACTCGGCATACTTCTCACTTGTACAATGGCAAATTACCGACATTTCAAATTATGTATTCATGAGAGCCTAGCTCAGTATTTGTTGTTCCACACTGCCGGGATCCTGCCATCGATCTCCCCGCACCGTGCGCTCAGCTGTAGTCCCCGTGTCTTCAGTCAGCACTGGGCGGGGCATGAGGCACTCTAACTTTCTCCCTCACACGCAGAACCAGTCACACGTGAATCGTAAATAAACAAATACGAAACACATAGTAAACCTAAATATTAGTGACTTCCTGAATGTTTTTACTTGATAATTAACGATATTTCAGATATATCTCTGCGTCATGTAAAACAGTCGAGTCTGAAAAACCAGTGACTGATTACACGAGCAAAGATCCACTGTTGAGTGCGTTGGCACAGAATAAGATTAAACATTGAGACTCCTTACTTTTGGCAAATCGTAAAAGGCATGCCATGCTACATGACAAGTATAACACGAGTAATTCATGATTGGGGTAAAAGATATGCTGTTATGTTGACAAGCTATAGTTCTTCTTCTACTTATTGTTGCTGGTAATTGTTATCAGACGCTGGATGGGTTCATATTTGTGGTGGCGCCGGACGGAAAGATCATGTACATTTCGGAGACGGCATCGGTGCACCTCGGACTCTCCCAGGTAGGTTGAATTTTGAGACCATTTGCTTGCAAGCAATACCAGTAAATCTACACAAACGCTAATTCCACTACACACTATTTTCTGTATCTTTGGTGTATTGCACCAAGACATCTGTAGATGCGTGAACAGCCCGGGATAACAGAACAGCTATCCATGGTCTTAAGATACCTGGACAACGGTCAGTTTTAATGCGTTTAAACATGTAATGCTGGGCTAATTCATGAACGACGCTATACATGCATATGTGATCTATGTATTGTGACCCAACGTAAAACATGATTTGGGGTATTTCTGTTTTTTGTTATTATTTTAGGATCTGGGTGCTGACACGTACTGTTTGTTGGACAATGTTATATTTTTGAAACAAATCCTTCTCTTAACCTAAGCATGGCAATGACGATTACACTCTTTGTTTTTATCTGTCTAGGTAGAACTGACGGGCAACAGTATATATGAATACATTCACCCTGCGGACCATGATGAGATGACTGCCCTCCTTACCGTCCACCACCCGTACCACACACATATACTGCAAGGTAGGTATAGGCCGCAACAGTAGGTGGATATCGTTTGCAAAACTTCTTTTCACGTACGTAAGGTTAAATTTAGTTTCGAATGGATTTGTTTTCACAATCAAACAAAATGAATTATTTTTCATTTTGATGTAATGCTGCGACGCCAAGACTCACGACAAAAACTGGCATCTCGAAACGGTAATATTTTGCTTCTGTCAATACACATCAGTGGTTACGACACTTCGCTCTGAGCTTACTCTTTACTGTAGTCCTTACAGCGTTAGCCCCTTTAGAGATCAGACATCAACGTTAAAGGTTGGTTTCGCATTTGTTGGTCGAGAAAAGCACAAGGCCAGTTATTCTTGTGAAACCATGTTTGTGTTGTCAGTACATACAAACTATGTACATCCCTATATATTATTTCCGATCCAGGGAACTATGCTGGTGATCAGCAATTGCGAGCCTTGTTCTGGCCTTTTAACATATATGCGGAATGTGTCTATTAAAACAGTATACATGCATATGAGAATATTATGAGTCTTTTATGCAGTGTTTGTCAACGGAAAGTAGTTATTACAATAATCTCTTAATGACACTTCAGACAATGTCCTATTTTGAACAATTCATGCACTGGACTGTGCATAACGGGTGTGTTATATTTATGTGGGGTGTGTCGGCTTTGTCACGATTTTGAAAAATCTAAGGGTATAAAATATTCAAACTATCTTGAGGTATATTCTGCAAGGATTGATTCTAGAAGGGTCATTTGTCAACTACTAAAAGAAGTCGTTCTTGTCGCCACACAAAAGCTTCAAAGAAAATATAGCGTTTGAGTGAATCTAGATGAAAAAAGATGCATGCTGTAAACAGTAAAAATATTCACATGTAATGTCAAAGGCCAAGCAAACCCTATAATCTATGACTGGCCTGACCACAATCTTGTTGGCTTACCGTACAGGACACAAGAGATGACATGTGAGAGCTAAATATTGTTTTGTAGAGTGGACTATTTAGAGGCGTTAGACAAGTATTTGTAGTCATTAATGACAACTGTGAATAAGGTAAATATCTTCTCCACAACGTTCGGGAATATTGGAAATAGAATAGCTGGATTTATCAAACTCACAAGGACCGCAGGTAAGCGAGCTATGGACGTCCGTCTGTCTTTCCGTAAACTGCGCTTAGCGAGTCGTGATATTTAGCCTCATAGGTTTACTGCCATTTTGTCGTCAAAAACGTCCCACGTTTTAGTTGTATTTTAATTAAATCATTTGAATTGTGAAAAACCGTTTAGGACGTATATCCTGGAAATCATCTCACACTGATGTGAAGTCAAGCGACGTAAACAAAACTAGATTTGTTCTATGGTATAGAACACGTTAACCTTAAATCAGAATTAACTGTTTATGTGATTCTGCGACTTGCAGTGTTTATGTTATACTTGAGAGAGCAGTCAGCATCTTTAATTACGACACTGTAACCTTATGTCCACGATGCCAATACAGTGATGTTACCACCACATGTTAACAATTGTTCGGAGTGGGATGTCGTAGCCAGATGTTGCCAACTTAAGTCTTCAATCCACTACACATTCTTGAATTTGTTTTGTAAATAAGTACGCTTCTGCTACCAGACAGAACTAGAGAATATAATAGCGTCCACGTTACCTAGGTTCTGATAAACCTCACAGTTCTCATGTATTTAACGGCATTACCTGGTTTGGATGGTTCACACTTATGCATATTGATCTAATGCTTTCAAGAGAATTCGTTAAACTTTTCAACAGAATCTTTTCATTAATTAGACAGATATATGGTTTTAGTTCACCATGACCGGAAGTGCGATTGAGCTAATCGTCTTCATCTAAACAGCTGATGAAATTAGGCAGATACGTCTATCTCCCTGTCTGTCCTTTCTAACACACACACATTCATTCTACGTAACTGTCTTGTATATATACACGATGATTTTTTCCCGTTTCTCATATAATATCATCCTTAAAATAGGCGATAGTTTAAGCTTACGTCTGTAGATCTTGTCATGTTTTCGAATTTAAAATGTTTCCAATGTATGTTAATTTTATGGCATTGGTGAAGATTCTTACAGATTATAATAGACTAATGAAGTAGATATCAACAAACAATGTTCCTTTAGGTCACAATAGTAGTCAGACAGAGTGTCTCTCTGATACTATCAGTCGTTGATGAAAAAACGTAAACTACCCCTTTCATCAAAACTGGTGAGGCACAGTAGTTGAGAAGGTTGTATGTGCCTTTTGTAATAAGCCGTCTTTGTTTATGTTTACAGCTATGTGACCATGCAGGTTTGCAATGTTCTAAATTAAATACAAATTATTTTAGCATCTCTGTAGTTCCTCGAAGGATAGTTCTATTTAATGACTGCAATACATGAACAAAGCTGAACCTTCAGTGTATGATTTCTGCATCCAGATGGAAGTGTGGATGTAGATTATGCAATTCATCTGATGAAATGTCACGAGTGTATTCCTCACTGTATCAGGCACTTTAGGCTTGATATCTCCCAATCAGTTCACTGAAATCCACTCAAGGATCTTTCCGCGACCAACATAACTCGTTGTTCACATGACCATCTACCACCATGTCTACTGGCCTGTACACAGGACCATCTACCGCCATGTCTACTGGCCTGTACACTGAACCACAAACCTCCATGTCTACTGGCCTGTACACTGGACCGCAAACCGTCATGTCTACTGGCATGCACCCTGGACCGCAAACCTCCATGTCTACTGGCCTGTACACTGGACCGCAAACCGCCATGTCTACTGGCCTGTACACTGGGCCGCAAACCGCCATGTCTACTGGCCTGTACCCTGGACCGCAAACCTCCATGTCTACTGGCCTGTACACTGGACCGCAAACCGTCATGTCTACTGGCCTGTACACTGGACCGCAAACCACCATGTCTACTGGCCTGTACACTGGACCGCAAACCACCATGTCTACTGGCCTGTACACTGGACCGCAAACCGTCATGTCTACTGGCCTGTACCCTGGACCGCAAACCACCATGTCTACTGGCCTGTACACTGGGCCGCAAACCGCCATGTCTACTGGCCTGTACACTGGACCGCAAACCGTCATGTCTACTGGCCTGTACACTGGACCGCAAACCGTCATGTCTACTGGCCTGTACACTGGACCGCAAACCACCATGTCTACTGGCCTGTACCCTGGACCGCAAACCACCATGTCTACTGGCCTGTACACTGGGCCGCAAACCGCCATGTCTACTGGCCTGTACACTGGACCGCAAACCGTCATGTCTACTGGCCTGTACACTGAACCGCAAACCTCCGTGACTATTTGCCGCCGTGTCGGCTCATGGCATCCATCATTAACTGTTGTCAAGTGACACATGATCTTTATTGCAGATATTGAAGTGGAGAGGTCATTCTTTTTGAGGATGAAATGTGTTCTTGCCAAGAGAAACGCTGGTCTCACATCAGGTGGCTATAAGGTAAGAAATCATTACCGTCATTTACTGTCATATTATATATACAGGCATCTCTGACATCTGTGCTAATTCAATACTTTTAATGCTCGTCAATTCGAGTGCTTTAAACGCGAATTTCAAATGTCTGCAAAAGTTGCAAATATGTGTTTTACTAGTGAAGCTAATTGAACCGGACATACAGTAGTACATGTGTATTTGACCAGCAAATTAAATCTTCATGAAACCTATCTACACAGCATTTTTATGTGAATATGTCAGTTGAATATATTATGTCTGGTGAACATATGCGTAGGATAGAATGCCATGTGTTTAGTATGGTGTTTAGTATTAGTTTGCAACATATACTACATCCGGGAACTGATCAGTAGAATGGATTACCATATGTTTGTTTACCATAGGGATAAGTCCGTAGAATATCTATGTGTATAATGTCTGAAAACCTATCAGTAGGATAGATTTCCAGATGTTTAGAAAGAGAGTTAGAAACATAGAAAAACAGTACCCATGCCTTCAGTCTGAAGAACATACATGGTATCGCTTTGAAGATACGTCACACATCACTTGAAAGTTGACCCTTGAAGAGAATAGGTCTTCCACAACTCATGCTTGTTGTAAGAGGCTACTGACTGGATCGGGTTGTCATTCACGCTGGCTGGCATGATATATGTAATTGTATCCACATTGACCAGATCGATGTTCATAATGTCAGTCAGTGGATTGTCTGTACAGACAGACGTCATATAGCTGGAACATTGCTGAGGGCGGAGTTAAATAACAAACGTAACAGTGGTTCGAAATTCTCAGTCAGTAGTTCTGTGAATGTATATTCACCATGTCAATTTGTTTGTGATGTGAGGCATACAGTCGTTGTATTTATGGGAGAAGCGGCTATCTGGATGCTACATATCAATCACCTGGTACTCTTTCCTCCCCTGTAGTGAAGAGGTCATGTGAAATCTGACTGTTGTGTTTCAGGTGATACATTGCAGCGGCTACTTGAAGATCAAACAGTACACGATGGACATCGCCCCGTATGATGGTTGTTACCAGAACGTGGGACTTGTGGCTGTCGGACATTCCTTGCCACCGAGCGCTGTCACTGAAATCAAAATGTTCAACAACATGTTTATGTTCAGGGCCAGTCTTGACCTCAAACTCATCTTTCTAGATGCTAGGTAAGTTGAGACGGTTACAACAGTTTCAACCTTTTTGTCATCTGCACAATTTAGTGTGATGATGATTTGTCGTTTTACTTAATTAATATTCCATTATGAAATGATTTACAATTTTTCTAAAGGGCTTTTGAATTATTTGAAATGCTAAATATTTGGTTTATATCTAAGAAGGTGTGTTGATGTGCAGTATGCCTCATTTATCGATATTCCATATTTGGACGGAACTACACATGTCGAACGCCATTTCAGAGTTGCTGCTCTAACTGGATATGAACCTCAAGACCTCATAGAGAAGACGCTGTATCACTACATACACGCATGTGACATTCTACATATGAGATATGCTCACCACACCCGTAAGTAGCTGACAAGGAGGACCTAACCTGTTAGCGTTAGGTGATACTATTCCATTACGTTCCATGCTACATTACATCTATAAACTGTACGTATAGGGCAGCCTACTCAGAAATCATGAGTGAGCGAGCGAGTGAGTTTAGTTTTACGCCGCTGTCAGCAATATTCCAGCAATGTCATGGTGGGGGACACATGAAATGGGCTTCGCACACTGTACCCATGTGGGGAACCCGGTTCTTCGGCGTGTCGAGCGAACGCTTTAACCACTCTGCTACCAAAACACCCCTAGAAATTAGGCAATTTGATCAATCTGCAAGAACATTATGCCGAGTGAATGTATCGGGGTGACGTGATTGCTACTTCTGGAAAAGACGAATCAGATTGCTGCAGGTGGAAGCAATGACCACGGGAAAACCAGGCTGGGAAACCAGGCTAGTCTCCCAATAAGTAACGTAGGCGGGACTCCCATGGCCATACCATAGCTAGTGGCCATAGCTAGGGAAGAAAAGTATGGAGAGCAATCGCGACAATCCTTCGTGTCATGAATAATAATTCTGACATGGGGACTACGGTATTAATCAAGAATACTCTCAATGTAAATGCCTAGGTCACTGGCGTAATAATACTGGAATAGCATTGGCCGAAGTGCGAGATTTTCAGTTATACAGAACCGAGCACGTAAAACTACAATTAAAGGTCAAGTGTCCCACGAAGCACCCTACACCTGGGTTCGAGTCGGTTTATTGAACAGAGGGGACCACACCAGCTGTTATTCCTGACGCAGTTGCGAGCGAATTAGGATATCGACATTGGACAGTCCCGTAGACTATTCGAAAGCTTTCATGGAGTACATGATTTTAAGTGAAATTGATATTTTTGTGTTGTTTCATAGACTGTGTGTCCGAAGTGGGGATGAACAAGCTGTTGACATATATTAATATGCAATAACATATGCTTGCACAACACAAACCAGGTTATTTGAAGAATTATCAGTATATAATTTAGACAAATAGTTTTAATCGTACATGTATATCAAATTTATCTGGATCGAATTTAATGCCAGATAACCCATTAGGGCTTTTGTTTAGGTATCATTGCGTTATCGGACATGCATTAAACATTACAAGGAAAAAAACAGTGCAGCGTTTGATGTACTTATCATGTCGGTGATAGGTCCTTTTACAACCACGGGTCACTTGTTCCGTATGTCAAAGCTTAGGAGTACACGTAGGTAAAATGGTAGGTTACTTGTTCTAGAACTCTTGAATAAATTATACGGTGTCGGTACTTATTTTATTTTGCCATTAAAAGTTTGGGCTAAGAAAGTAGTTGTGGGTTGTTCAAGGTATCTTCATCGTAAAACACATACATCCGACGGCGGCTAGTGTGTCTGCATTCCTTAGCATTGTTTTTGCCTTGTTTTGAGTCAGATAGAAATAACTTGTAATGCACTAAGCAAAGTTACTTCTCAATGAGTCATGGACTATGGGCCATAACTACTGACGATGCCTTTTATCCCCTGTTCAAGTAAATATCAATCAAACGTGATACTAACTGTATATTAATTTAGTATGTCAGCAACTCTGATTTATTTGCCACCGTTGATGGTAATGTATGCATTGAAACTACATGAAGCAACCGTGCATCTTACTTTCTTTTGGCGCTGCATTTTCTGTTGAATAGATTTACCTATTGGGTCATCTGGCTGTTTTATTACGTACAGCTACAACCCAATCAGTTAATTGGATCACGCACTTGTAAACTATCTAATTTGTCAGTGTCTATATGCGTTTACAATACTACTTGTCTGCTTTTGGTGGTTCCAACAAACATTAACTGAACTTTATCAAGCATATCAAGCATAATTTAGGAAGTGAGGTCAACATTTCTGTTTCGATAAGCTACTTGTACAGTTGCCTGACTGCAGAATACTTCAACCGCTTATCAATATGGTTTCATTTAGCCAAGATGTCTAATGCTGCTAACTGTAAAAAGGATAATCAACAACGATGGCAAACAGTTTTATTTGTCACCAAATACATGACGAACAAGATCCAATGTCATCCCCCTATATGTGTAAATATCTGGCATACATATACGTATTTGCTGAAATATTAAAGTACTGTTGAAGCATTTCTTTTCACCACTTGCAGTGTTGCTAAAGGGTCAAGTGACTACCAAGTACTACAGGTTTCTGGCCAAGGATGGCGGCTGGGTGTGGATGCAGAGTTACGCCACTATTGTGCACAACAGCCGCTCCTCCCGACCACACTGCATAGTCAGCGTCAACTACGTCCTCAGGTTGGGATCATTTTTCAAACTTGCTTGAAATATAGAATAGTAATATAATGTTTGCTGTAAACAAGTAAACTGTATCATTTTACCCATCTGGAATGTCAGAAAATATAGATTAGTAATATAATGTTTGCTGTAAACAAGTAAACTGTATCATGTTACCCATCTGGAATGTCAGAAAATATAGATTAGTAATATAATGTTTGCTGTAAACAAGTAAACTGTATCATTTTACCCATCTGGAATGTCAGAAAATATAGATTAGTAATATAATGTTTGCTGTAAACAAGTAAACTGTATCATGTTACCCATCTGGAATGTCAGAAAATATAGAATAGTAATATAATGTTTGCTGTAAACAAGTAAACTGTATCATGTTACCCATCTGGAATGTCAGAAAATATAGAATAGTAATATAATTGTTTGCTGTAAACAAGTAAATTGTATCATGTTACCCATCTGGAATGTCAGAAAATATGCCTATGCCAAATCTATTTCTAAACTCTCTTGGAGAAAGTAAGAAACGGGGCCTTTATTACACACGCATAAGTTATTCAAAGACAAAGTGACATGGTTTGCTTGTGAAGGAATGCCTATTTGAAGTTAACTACAGAATGTAACGCGTGATGGGAATTAAGATTGGAGTGACATGAATTACATCACCGAATGAAAATCGACGTTATCATTAATGGCTCTTGTTGATCCGTTTATATCCGAAGTCATACGCGAGATTTGCGTAGCAGTGCTTAGAATTACAATGAAGTTTAGACAGGGTATTCTCATCAAATCCAGCATTAAATGACAAACTCGTTGTAATGAGTGCCGAGGACGTTTCCCAATATTCAATATCAACCAAAGATGGACAATATTGATCATCTCCCTTTCTATTTCAGCGACGTTGTTGCCAAAGATTGGCAAATACAGTTGGAACAAACTTTGTCCACAAAAGAGGTGTCTCCGTATTCTGCCATCACCGATCGATCACGCAGCAAAGTGCGTCCCTCACGCAAGTCTCGCCGATCTCCTTATCCTCAAGTTACCGAGACGCAAGATTTCTCTTCTGACTACCCAGAAAGAACGTTTGATTTCGCACCAGATGCTTCCGTCCCAGTGCAGAACTACCCCGGAGTGATGTACCAACACCCCCATGAAGGTGTGGACCGCTATAGTGCACTTTACACAGCTCCATATGCACACCCTAGTATGACCGTGTATAGAGATGCGGCCTGTGTTTACCCGTATCAGACTCATCAACGGTACATAGACGAGCGCAATCCTTATCGGGGTTATGAGGAAAGATACTATCCTGCTAGAGACCCTGCTAACTATCCAGGTTATCTTTCGTCCACCCCGTCATCCATGCAGACAATGTCACGGTTGACGCATAACGAGTCAAGCCGAGATAGCTCGCAAAGCACTGGACAACAAACGACTCAATCGCAGTCTCAGCAGTTTGATTACCGTTCTCCTGGACACGGCTCCAGAAGCAGTTCAAGAGACGCTACATTCAACCAGTCAGCCGCTCACTACACAGCTCCGTACAGCAATAGGTCCGAATCATCAGCATCAGAAGTTGATGTGGGGAGTGAAGAATATGAAAAACGCCATTCGAGTTCACAGTCTCATCGAACAGATCGACCTAACAGCTCCAAGTTTGACTCCTTGATGGATACCACGAATCAGATTGTGAAAGAAGAGTCATACAAACCTCAGGATCAGTCCAATGGTCCTTTGCAAACATTATCACCCCCTCAGAGAGAGTCTGTGCAGCAATCAGTTATCATTCGCAGATCTTCAAATCAACCTTACTCCTCTAGTGAGGTGCGTACAAATGCAAACTCGAGTGATACCTACAATAATACGTCCTACAAGTCTCACACTTCCGGTACCGGGGCGATGCAATCTAAACGTTCTACTTCCGGAGCGGAAAGCACTCAATCAAATCTGTTGAACAGTTCTACTACAACTGATTCTCCTTCCGGGGATAAGCTATTGAATATGAGGTTATTACAGGATAAGTCTATAACCGCCCCGGACTACACTCACTGTTTGAAAGCGGCTGCATGTAGCTATGATAATTACACTCAAGCCAGTATGTATCAAAGTGCTCAGAGACCGTACCCGGTTGTGCCCCAGGCTGGGTACACCAGTGTTATTGTAGAACCACAACAGTACCATATGGCCAATGGATATGTGCATTGATGACTCACCGAGGTGATCGCACCAGCGTTCCCTTCGGGCTTCCTATTCAGTATTTAAGGCACTAGAAGGCTCACGTAAAAGCAAACTTGCAATTATTTCATGATTCAGGGAATATGTCTATAAGCAGAGACTTATCTGAATGTGATTATCGTACTGTATTATGTATTTGACTGACATTGCACACAGCTACAATCATAGGACATACATATACAGCAAACACAGCGTATGTCTCATTAATGCTCCATCACCAGTAATTCATGGGCAGCCAACTATCAGCAGTAAACGGAAACGTAAAATCTCAACTTGAAAAGGTGCTATGACTTCATAGTATGTGCTTAATATCACACGTAGAAACCTTTCTATATGAAGTTAACATATATTCAACTTAAGTTATTTGGTGCCTTGTTTTTGACAATTGGTTGACACGTTAGATGTACGTGCAGGTGTAGACGATGCGGATGTGCCTGTGAGTGTCGTTACATATGAACCGTCTCTGATATTTCTCATCAATGTTCTTTATTCATTTGCATAATGTCAGAAACATTGTCTGATCTTTGTCATGTTTGAATACAATTGTAAACATGTGTCCCATTAAAAACCTCTAGGTTTTTTGTCAAATAAATATGTGTTATTGTTGAGATATGGTCGATTTCTATATTGATTATAACGTCATCACGAAAAGTGGTTGGGTCTTTCGTGCATGTCTGGTTCAAACAAAATCACTAACACTAAGCACTACAAATGACATTTTGTGTGAAGTAAAAATCTAGTATGGTATTGTGAAATCTTTTGAGAAATTCAATGAGGGCAAAATTGTATTTTTATGATAAAATGCATCACAAACCATCCATTTGGCAAACTATGATCATTCCTCATTCCTACCTGTGAGCCCACTCAGACGAAATTCTACTATCAGACGACAATTACCTAAGAGATCCGACTATCTGACGAGAGCCCACTGGATGAATAGTGGGGACCCCACTATCCGACTAGGACCCAGTGTATCAGGGGAATTCACTATCTGATGAGAACCCACTGTAAGAGGGGACCACCCTATCCGACTAGAACACACTGTATGAGGAGATGAACCCATTGTATGAGTATGCTCCACTATCCGACAAGGACCCAGTAAAAGAGGAAAATTCACTATCTGACTATAACCCACTGTGTGAGGAGATCCAATTATCTGATGATACCTCGCTATCTGACCAGATTCCTATCTATGTAATGAACCTTATGACTTAACGTCTTTGATTAGTTATCAATTTTAGAAACTAGATAAAAGTGAATGCATAGTATGTACAATGTATTTCAAAATGAAAATCTTATATTGATGTTTACTTGAAAGAGCCACTGTCTTTCATCGTAAGTGGGACCGCGGGTACCAGGAGAGCGGAAGGTGTCCCTGCCTGGTGTTCAGCATGAAACAAGGTTGCGTCCAACCCATATCAACCACCCCAATCCCATCCCCACCAACACCCACTCAACCAACTTCACCCACTATTTATGCACGTATTCCGAAGTAATGACGAGAATGTGCGCGCCAATATTCCTTCTCCACGTTTTGGAATACACAGTTAAACGACAACCACTACTTGAAATCATACTATCACTGTCTGTGAAGATCCGGGTTAGAATTGATCTTCAATAACCCTGCTATCGTTAGAGGCTATGTATATAATCGTATCGCAATTGCGTAGATAAATGCTCACGATGTCGGTTACAGGATTGTCTGATAAACTGCTGACTGTGGCGCTAAACAACAACCAAACATTCACATACCTAGTTAGGTATAGTTATCAGCTTAGTCATCACCCAACCGGTCTGGGTAACGTGTTAACAAAAGACGCTCAAATTAAACTACGAAGGAACTACTGCTCAAATGTAAAATTCTTCGATGGCTGAAAGAAAAGTAGCTTTTAAGAGTAGCTTGAGTTAGGAATATAGTTTCATGCTGCAATCAATAATCGTCACGCTATATCAAGAGGGGATCAGAAAAAAAATCGTCAAGCTATATCAAGACGGCCGGTAAATAATCGTCACGCTATTTCAAGACGGCCAGTCAATAATCGTCAAGGTATATCAAGATGACCGGTAAATGTTCGTCAAGCTATGTCAAGACGGCCGGTAAATAATCGTCAAGCTATATCAAGACGGCCAGTAAATAATCGTCAAGCTATATCAAGATGGCAGGTAAATAATCGAATCTAGTTCAGGATGACCAGTGATTAGAAACATGGCCAACGACCACGTTCTCAGTCCCTTTCTATGAAATAATGGGTTCATATCAGGAATGAGCGACCGTGTCATTCACTCCAATGGACTGGTGTAATTTATCCTCTTTCGTGAGGAGAGCGTGCTTTGGGTCAAATAACAATAGTTGGGAAATTATTTAATAGAATTAAATGTTTCATAACCGTCGTTCTTAGTGCTTCAAATATGCGGTAACACTCTTTTCTGTTCTGTTATTACGAGATAATGTAAGATTGTGTATTAATTTCATTTGCTATATGTATTCATACTCGTCATTTACTGTGGGGGATCCAACACTTTCGATGTACAAGAGGGAAACGTTAAAGGGAAAATGATAAAGCAAACTCGCATTTAGTGTTATTTTTGCATGGAAATAAGATAAGATATGAAATCGTCAACAATGATTAAAGTCGAGTGGTGGCAAAACCAAAACTAAACATTCCTATAATTGTCGACGGATATCTGTTTTCATACATTTTCGAACGGCAGTGTTTATTCCAGCAACAGCGAGGCGGGTTGCATGACGCAGACATTGTAACGAGGGTTTGTGTTTAAGATATAGTTGTCTTTATAAGGTTAGTCACATGTTTTACAATCGTTCATAAGCGTCCCATAACAGGAGGATATAACAATCTACACACAGTTGAGATGGATTTGTGGGACATAAAAATAGACAAAGCTTTCTATCCATTCAGTCGTTTTGCTTTAAAAGTAGATGGAATTAAGAGAAAAACTGAGACTCGCGGTTTTGTTAGATAACATGCACACACATTTCCTAGACTTTCATAATTTCATTTTCATCCAAGTGTTATGGTGAGTTAAACATGAATGTAATCAAACTTAAACGTATAAGACATTTCAAACTAAACAAGGATTAAAATAGGTACAAATAACAAGCATATAATGTGCAAAACATGCGGTCCGCTGTGTTCACCTTATATTTTGGCATTGTTGTGAGCATGTGTGGGGAGTAAATGTCATGTTGTTACTCTGGTCACTGGCGAGGCCGAGGACAGTAACAGCTCAACAACCCTTGACTCTATGCTAAAACGGTAGACATCCGTCTCAAGCAATTCAATTAAAGAATGCAAATAGACAGATACCCCGATATTGAAGTGTCTAGAAAGGTTAGCTGGGAAATAGAAAGCAACTAAGAATAGAACCGGAAGTTAGACAAGATGGCCTCCTCATTTCGCACTCTCGCTGCAGAAAAGGATATCGGATGCTTCTGGCGAATGAAGGACAGAAAATTGAATTCTCGTGTTCCATGAACATCAAGTTGAAATGATCTCGTTAAGCTCTTGACTTAAAGTGCAAGTTTTTAATTCTTTCTGTTTAACTGTCGTTTAGAACGGTTGGTCCATTCACTGGTTAGGACAGCAAAGGAACATCATGAGATCCGCTTTTTTGCTAATATCTGTAATTACAAGATCTTGCAATGGACGGGTTAGGACACAAGAGCAAAGATTTGTAAAAGTAATGGACTTCTAGGACACTGTCAAAAGAATTTTGAGAATATGCTAAATTGAAAAATCGAGGGAAAAAGAGCAATACCTCCTTTGATCTAAATGTCACAGGGTTTTTTATGATATTCACGTGTATTTTCGCTGCCACATTATGTGTATCCCCTAATCCGAATAATCGCTCAAATGTTGCTTTTGAAATTTTCCATCCTAATGGCTAACAGAGTGCGCAAGGTTGTGCAACAGGATGGTCAGCTTCTCGTCAGTTTTCTTCCGTCGGGGTGAGTGTATGTAGGAGAATTCTTCCACCAAAATAATAATAATCTCAACTTATCATAAATATATTAGCATGCAAAGATATGATTCTCTGTAATAGTCACCCTTTAGGCGTATGGGTGTCCCAGATTACCGAAAAGCAGCCTGCTGAGAAGGAAACTTGCTATTTTGAGGGACATTAACATTTCGTGCGGTTCGGACGATACAATTATAAGAACTAAACATTTGCCAAGTCCCTGTTCGAGTGTTGCTGACAATAAAGGTCTTGGTCTATCACAAAATGAACTGTCGAAGTGACCATTTTCTCCTGCAATGTGTTTTAGAGGGATGTGCTGTTACACTAACTGTAGTAACTTAACAAACGTGGTTCACGGGTAAAACTCACAAGTTATGTCCTCTAAGAAGTCATTCCTTTTTTTCCACCTTGAATTCACTGTCACTAACAAATTCACTGTCACTAACAATTATACATTTTAAGTAAATTGTATCATATCTCTTCTTTATCTTCTTTAAATCATCCAGGGCGAAGAGATTACAGAGTCAAGATTTGATAACAGCTCACATAAATAATTTTTTAGATCGATTGTGTATCGTGTTTGTTTGAGCGCTAATTACAGCATCTATTGGGCTCGACACAGAGAGACACAAAACGCTCGATGCTGACTCGGTAAACACGCATATGCATGACGTCACTATTCACCTAACGCTAAATGAAAACAATGTACAACTACTTATTAAGCATGTTAGAGCACATGGGGTTTCAATTACGCCACGTTGCTTCAAATATTTCTTCTGGGATTGCCAGTAGAAGCATATAAGAATATATTTACCATTTTCAGCTTGCTATCACCTGAATTATTGAGGCTGTCATATATCACAATAATGTCTTTTGAAATCTTTTTACGTCCTTATCGTTGTAACACCTAGAGCCGTTTTGAGATGTTTTGTTTTCTCTATATGGCCAGGAAATGCAATGCTAATGCGTGCAGTTGACGATGCCCGAGAGAAAGTTTACATTTCTTAGTCATGTTCACACAGTATGATTAATAGAAACTTCTACCAGTTGTTTAGAATAAAACTAACTTTGCTATATATTTTTTTGCTCTTTGTTTTTTGCCTTTTTATTACGAGGTGCTACATATCTTACAAAATATCAGCTCTACTGGTTTTCTGGTTTTAAAAAATCCGATCTTCTTAACCGCGTTTTACAGTTTCAATGTAAATTCAATTAAGAACCCAAACAAGCTTTAGGAATGTTTCTTAACGGATAAAATGTTGCTTAAAGCGTCATGATTAGTTAGATACATGAACGTTATAAGTATACTTTACTGAAAACTTCCCAATATACATGAACGTTATAAGTATACTTTACTGTAAACTTCCCAATATACATGAACGTTATAAGTATACTTAATGTAAACTTCCCAATATACATGAACGTTATAAGTATGCTTTACTGTAAACTTCCCAATATACATGAACGTTATAAGTATACTTAATGTAAACGTCCCAATATACATGAACGTTATAAGTATACTTTACTGAAAACTTCCCAATATACATGAATGTTACAAGTATACTTTACTGAAAACTTCCCAATATACATGAACGTTATAAGTATACTTTACTTAAAACTTCCCAATATT